TGAAGTCTCCATCAACGTGGATGTACGATAGCACCACCTATCGAAACCACGTCCCAAAAATCTCCGTGTCTCCAATTGCGTTTGCACACTCCAATCCCATCCCTTTACATTCTTGCAAGTTGCATGCTTTACTTTCCGCTGCTCATATACTCTTTGCATGCTTGTTTGATATGTATTGTGAATGTTAAACTTGTGTCAAAACTCCACTTGAACTTAAAGAAATTAAAAACTCCAACTTTTCTTGCTTAGAGTCTATTCACCCCCCCTCTAGACACCTCTTCTCGATCCTTTCAACTAGTCGACGGGGGTCAGAGGACGGCGTGGTGGTGGGCGAGGCGGAGCCATCGAAGGAGAGGAGAGGGAGATGCGGTGAGGCAGAGAGGGAGCCATGGGAACAGTGCGGGTTGGGCGGTGACAGGAGAGTGGGGGGGGGGAGTTATGAGCCGTCTCGTCCGTCTTCCGCGCTGCCCGAGGCGTGCAACCCCCCCGCACGCGTGGCCGCGCCGAGCCAGGCTCGCGAGAAACTACCGATTCGGCAGTTTCCGTCGGGTCAGGCTCCGGTCTGCTTTAAGTTCCGTGCGGGCCACAAAACGCATGCAACCCAGACAACCAAACATGCCACACACATTCCGCGCGGGCTTGGTTGGGCTGCATGTGGGCAACCAAACGTGCCCTAGTTGTTGCCTTAGAGATGTTCTTCTTTGCATCTTGTATCCCTTTTTCCGCTTCCTCCATTTGTGCATGTTGCTTCCATGTAATCCTGGCAGGTTGATGGCTTTGTTAATTCAAAGTCGGGCTAGGTTCGAGCTCTTCTCGAGCTCGGCCGACGCCTTTTCTCTAAAAAAAATTAAATGAGAGGAAAGATGGTGACTAACAAAAAGCACAATAAAATGAAGGCTAATGAAATGGATATTGACACCACTGTGACGTATATTTTATTGGTACCCCGTACAACACGCCAGCTAAAACCAAATCATTAGAAACTAGTCTCCAAGACCACATTAAGGTAACATCCAAAGCACTTTAAAGCTTATCTCATGGAGGTATCTTTGGAGAGTTTGGCACCGAATGCAAATTTGAACTAAATATCGAAACTTACAATACAAACTTCCTCATCTAAACACATCCTTATCAAGCACTAATATGGACACATCAACTTTCTTTTGTTTGCCTCTCCAAACTCTTTTATAATCATATCACTAGGAATTTCATTTTTATTATTGAATGGAAATTTGATACAAATAAACAAACTACAAGTTATTTGATTTAGCTTAACATTGATTGGTAAGCTTGGCACATGCACCCGATTTTTTGCTTTTAACATCTACACTCACATCTTTTAGCATTGATGCTAAACAATTTCTCTCACCTTTAGCGTCTGCCCAACATCTAGACCACACGGATGCTTTTATATGTTTGTGGAGTAACTCGTGGTTTTGTCGTCGAGTGTATCACACACAACCTTTCATAAAGTTTCAGGGGTGCAAAACAAAGTTGTTTCCACTTTTTAACAAAAAAATGGAAATATTGGAGGGCCAATTCGCAACAAATGGGGTACCCCTTTTCGCACACTTGAGCTCGTTTTCTTGGCCTCCCCTCACCAGCAACCCACCGCACCAAACACCGGCTCCTCCCCGCCGCTCTCCCGCCATGAAGCAGCTCCACAAGTCCCCCACCCACGCGCCGTCGCCGGCGCACGCGCCGGCGTCCAAGATCTCCAAGCCCGCGCGCCCCGGGCCGCGCACCTGGGTCGGCTACCTCCTCCGCGAGCAGCGCCTCCTCTTCGTCCTCCTCGGTGCGCTCATCGCCACCTCCTTCTTCCTCCTCCGCCCCTACCTCTTCTCCCTGTCAGCCTCCAACCCCACCGAGCGAAGCCCCATCTTCTCCTTCACCGGCCACTCGTCGGACTCCCGCGGCGTCCCCGCGGGCTTCCGCCCGCCGCCTCGCCGCGTCGTCGTCACCGGCGGGGCGGGCTTCGTGGGCAGCCACCTCGTCGACAGGCTGCTGGAGCAGGGGGACAGCGTGATCGTGGTGGACAACTTCTTCACCGGGAGGAAGGAGAACGTCGCGCACCACCTGCGGAACCCCAGGTTCGAGCTTCTCCGACACGATGTCGTCGAGCCCATCCTTCTCGAGGTCGACCGGATCTACCACCTCGCGTGCCCCGCATCGCCCGTGCACTACAAGTACAACCCCATCAAGACGATCATATCCTTCTCGACGCCTGGATCTATACATACTGTTTGATTTGCTTACATTGAAAGCGACTTGATTTCGATCTTCTTTTTGTGCGGTTGGTCGGAGGTATGCTTGATGCAGATCGGGCACAATAGTGATGGTTGTGGCCCGGATCAAGCGCACGCGGTGGTTGTTTGGCTGTTTTGCTTGGACTTAGGAGCGCTCTGTTTCATTAATCTACCACTTTTTGCATAGAAAACCTACATTTGCAATAGGGGGGGATCTCGAACAAATAATTGTCTGTTGTGATGCACATAACTGTTTTCTCAGATTTGACACTGCCTTAGACGACCAGTCGTGAGAGTTCTCTTATTTTGTAACTAGTTTTATTTCACTATCATTTGAGATTACTCTTATTGTGCTTCAGTGATATACAGTATAATTTGTCCTCTTAACAATTAGTACAAGACAAATGTCATGGGAACCTTGAATATGTTGGGTCTGGCAAAGCGAATCGGTGCAAGGTTCTTGTTAACTAGCACAAGTGAAGTTTATGGTGACCCACTTGAGCATCCGCAGAAGGAGACTTATTGGGGGCATGTTAATCCTATAGGTACTGCATTATTAGTTTATACCACTTTAATGTGCTCACTGCTCAGCACCTCATATTACTTCCAGAGGATTAAACCCTTGCCTTTTTCAGGTGTTAGGAGTTGTTATGACGAGGGCAAAAGAACAGCAGAGACTTTGACTATGGACTACCATCGTGGTGGTGGTGTTGCGGTAATTATCTAGTTATATCCACTCCGTCTTTTCGACCGGGTTTATGTTATAATTAGGAAAATAATAATCCCTCGATCCATAATAAGTGTTGCAGTTTTGAACCGGGGTTAGTTCAAAACTGCGACACTTATAATGGATCGCAGGTAGTATTTTGTACACTCTTAGATCCTGTAAGATTTTCCTTTGCATTCACTTAGCTGGCAAAGTGTGAACTAGTGAAAGCATTATCCAATCATCTTTAGTTACCATAATTGATGTATCCCATTTCAGTTATTTAGAAGTGAAAATATCTAGGTCTGTGCAACTCATTCATTAAATTTTGTTCGAATCCTATAATTATTCATGAGACAATAAATGATTAAAATGCCGTTTACATTAACATGCTCTATGTTTTAGTGTCTTGGCACAACGCATGTGACCACACTGTCTTAATTGTAGCCAAATCTCTACAAACTTTTGCTAACTGGCATAAATGCAGGTACGAATTGCTCGTATTTTCAATACATATGGCCCTCGTATGTGCCTGGATGATGGCCGCGTGGTTAGCAATTTTGTTGCACAGGTCTGTTAGCCACATATCATGTATTACTAGTTTTTAGCTGCACCATTTGCTGAAGCCTTGACCTATATGTCTCATGGGTATCCTTGCAGGCACTGCGCAAACATCCAATGACAGTATATGGTGATGGAAAACAAACTCGAAGTTTTCAGTATGTTTCTGATCTGGTAAGCACTGTGCAATATTCTTGTTGTGCATTGATAGTCTCATGTGTTCATATATACTCGTTAGTTGCAATTCTTTTTCTCTGTTGTTCCATGTTATAATTTCTCAGAGTAACATTTTCTTTTGTAGTTTAGCTGTATAGTCGATGAACTTGGATGAAACAAAATGTTTTGTCCGTAGAAACTTCTTGCGCTTTTTGTTTGACCAATAGTATTCAGTCCCACACCTTCACAGAAACACTTTCAAATAACTAACATAAACTGAGGCCAAGGAAATTAGCTGTTGATAGGTTTGTTCGCAGGGGAAAATATAGCTTCAGGATTTTTGTCTGTTGCATCTACTTTTCCCCTTTGCATACAAATATCAAATGTTTTTTAATCATATCACCTGCTTGCTTATCTTTATTAGATGAATGCAGATCAATGGCTACACAGACCTTTTGATTTCTCTTATCAAGTCTAAGTTTGTCATGATATTTCCATCCATGTCTTTTAGGTTGCTGGATTGATGGCTCTGATGGAGAGTGAACATATTGGCCCTTTCAATCTGGGAAACCCAGGAGAGTTCACCATGTTGGAACTTGCAGAGGTCTGCACAAGAGTGTTGTTAGATACTTTTTTTTAATCTAAAATGGTTCGTAGTAAATGAATATCCTGCCTTTTTCCAGGTTGTGAAGGAAACAATTGACCCAATGTCGACAATTGAATTCAAGCCCAACACTGCTGATGATCCCCATATGAGAAAGCCCGATATTACCAAGGCCAAGCAACTGCTAGGTTGGGAGCCAAAGGTATCTCTGAAGGAAGGCCTTCCCTTGATGGTGACAGATTTCCGCAAAAGGATCTTGGATGAGTAACCAAGGCAACACTGAGATGAATCTATTCGGTTCTGAATGCTGCGAATATAGGCAAACGTGCTTCACCAACTGGATCCATTCAGTATAATTCTGTGTTTGTATAACGACCTTGTAGAATCATTTAAATTTGTTTTCGTCTTGGTGAGACTGGACAGAAGTAACCAATGGTTTTTTGTCCACATGTGGAACTATAGAAGTGAATTGAAAGATAGGTGAAGAGGTTGTATTTCAGGAGCTATTGGGTTCAGTTTTGGACTTCCAGTTAACTCCTAACTGTAAAATGAATACTTAATATAAGTGAAATGTAATGGGATGAGATTGCATATATATCCTGTTCAGTTAAGTCTCGTTCCTTCGGTGTGTTTTGAACTGTCGGTCTACAAGTTTCACTTGTCGAAAACTCTGAAGCTTCTTGCAGAGAAGTTGATTTGCAGAATGGTATGTGAGGCTTCACGGCCTTCACTTGAGGTGCACACTGAAACTAAGAATCCTGCTGAAGCTGACATTTCCGCTTGTTTCAGGTACATCCGCTGCTCTGATAACAGCGAAACCGGTGGTGCCGTCGTACCTTCCCGTCCCTCCGACCACCGCGACATGAGACTCCTCCTGGCCATCACGATGGACTCCGAAGAACCTGATGCTGTCTTCTGCGCCAGCGCCGGTGAACAGGGCCTTCACTGCCACCATACGGCTGCTGTTATCATCCAAGCTGGTGACAAGAACGCCCTGCAGCTTCCCAGCCAAGGGCAGCCCAAACTCTCTCTTGCCGTGGAACTGCTCGTCAATCACGGTCACAGTGCCAGGCCGAAGCGCTCCAGGCAGCGTCAAGGTGCGCAGCCAGCTGCCGGGGTGGCCGATCGGGCCTTGGCTGGTGAAGGCGGGGTGTTTCGAGGAAGGGGTGCCGCCGGCATTTGGTGGTGCGGCTCCGATGGTGTAGAGCGTTATGGTCTGGCCGGAGCCATGGGTAGGGGGCGGGGGACGGCGGCCCGACGCGGTGTTTACCGTGGTTAGTAGGAGCGTGAGAGCAATGCAGGCTCGGGTGAGGATGTGGGCACGACCTTGTGGTTGCATCTTGGCTCGGTTGTGAGGTTACGGTCATCTGCCGTGTGATTTGCTTAAGTAGCGCAGAGTGGAGTTGGTTCACAAAGCCAAACTGCTCCATTTGGCTCTGCAACGAACCAGCAGCTCCATTTGGCTCGTGTCAGCCAGCAACTCCCTTCAGTAAGATACCATCCTCCTAGGCTCCTAGCCTGATCTTGTTCATAAAAGTTCATAAAAGAGCTTATATTCTGGAACCATGGCCTCTATCAGGCTGATCTTGAAGAAGTTGGTGTTCTGTATTTGGACACAAGGAAAAGGTTAAACCACCTAAACTACACCTGTTGCGCAACAATGTCTCCAAGAATTCTCTGCTGCCGGCTCAGGTCATTCGACTGTCCTCCCCTGTCACGACTTGGTAAGCAGGCGCCAAGACTTCTTGGGGAGAGCGCATGGGGCATTTTTTTTCGTAGTTGCTGCACTCTGGTCTTCCATTAGTCCCTAGAGAACAATTTGATTCTGGTCTTTTGCGTTTCACATTACTGTTTGTTGATTAGATCGTGTAAGAATTATCATGTACTTTGCTGCACATGCTAATTCATGACCAGACCCTGTCCCCCACTTCGACGATCTCTGACCTTGGATGTAGTATCAGATAACCTCTTCTGGTTAAGATGAAATCTTAGTTGCACATGGAAGAACTAAAATTTCCTGGAACATTCCTCAGGTTAAGATGAAATCAACGTGACAACCTCTTCAGGTTGTTGGTCATGTGAGCTCAAGAGCGTATTGGCGATTGAAAAGTACCGTAGGATTAGAGCATTTCTGGCCGCTCCAAAAAGGCTTATAACTCCCTAAAAATCAGTTTGAGGAGTTAAGCTACTTCTACCCCTTCCCCAAAAACTATAAGGGCAACTCCAACGCGGGTCACCTATTGATATCCACGGATACATCCGACGTGTCCACAAACAACCGACCGAGCGGAGGGCATCCAACCGGAGTCACCAAATGTTCGCCCCTTGTCCAACATCCTTCCTTTGACAAATTTATCCAGATCAATAGTAATGCAACCATACATTTAAATAGTTGTAAACAAATGCAATTAAACCAAAATGCATGGGATGTTCAACAAGTTCTTCACATCCATGATCCATCGATCCCATAAGCCCCCAATCTGTCTGACCGTGCCAAATAACTCAATTTTTAGCCTCCTTTTACGCAAAGCGTTTGTACATGGCCACGGCTTTGCACCTTCACCTGGCCATGGCTTTGCACTTGTTTATATGTGTCGGCATACTTGTTGACCTCCAATTAAATGGTGTACCATTGATGGCCTAATGACTTCGGATTGCGGTCATGGATGACTTCATTCTTGTAGGGGCGGGGTCGTAGTGCTTTTTTCTCATGAAACCTACCCTGCACACTTTGCCAAAAAGCCGAGCTCTCTTCCTCAGTGCCTTAAAATGCATCAATGATGGTGTAATTTTTGACCCATTTTAGAGCTCATTTGCTGCATAGAAACTCATTATATCATGTTCCATTGAGCCACTTTGATGTCCATTATGCATGATTTTCAGCTTGCACTCATTTTATTGTGAGCATTGCATAGTCTTTACTTTTTTATTAGTTTTCTGTATTTGTTGTGTTTGTAGATGATTTGGAACTCCCATGGACTAAGCACGATAAAAGGACCAAGGTTGGGATCAATACAGAGGAATTACAAGCACCAAATAAAGGCCTTTCGTGGAGTCTGTGAAAAGGAGATCTTCCAACAAGCACAAATTGAAGATCCAATATTAGGAGGTTATTGGGCTTCTCGATACATATCCAACGAGCCCAAAACACCCAAATCAAAGATTGTATGAGGAAATGGCAACCGAATTACTAAACTCCACGCTCAGCCTCAAGAGCGAAAGACAATGCGCGGTATGACCGTGCACGACAGTACCGACATTCGCTTGAGCTGTTATGGGCAACGGGAATCGCCTTAACTTCCATGATTCTTCACCGATTTTGCCCCATTTGTTCCTACAACATTCCTGCACATCAAGGGAGGTATTGGGCGATGTTTAGGCTCATGTAGAGCTCTTGGATGAAAATAAAGAAGTTGCATCCATTGAGGAGACCAATGGAGGCCTGCTATTTATACATGTCCAACCTTAGCCACCGACAATAATCATCATCACCGTCATATTGATTTCTCCCGCATTGGAGCCTTCATCCA